ATTTTCAGTATGTAGTTTAGTATAATTCAACATTAGAACTATTTTATCGTACCTTAGCTTATTGCGCACCTATTAGTTTGATTATGGGTAACTAAAGATTATTTAATTATTATTATTATTATCAAAGCAAATTTTTTTTCAATAAGTTGATACCCGTACGAGCTCGCTATGTCTGTAATAAAATTTAGGTTATCTAGCAATACCAGTACACCTATCTTGGAGGTCAAAAAACTTAAATTTTAAATAAAGTCAAAAAGTTAACTTTTTAACTAAATAATATTTATTTTGAAATTTAGTATGAAGATTCGAAGAATTTAATATAACGAAGAGCGCTATTAATCTTTAAAACAGATAAGTCAGTACTTAAGGTTCAGCACTCTTTAACGTATAAAGGGACCCATGGACGCTCTACCACCTCCGATGCTTCTTCTTTCTATCACATTAACACAGCAAATTGCATAATATTATGCACCTGCCTCCATACATTATTAATTTTCAACTCTAGGAGCCATAAACCTAAATTGTAAAACCCTTCTTACTTGTTAATTATAAAAAATGAGTAACCAAAGAATTAGGTTCTCAGGTTCGCTCATGTCCGTCACCCACTTTGAACTAATAAAAACCATGTTCTGTTATTATTTGACGACTTTATTAATTATTCCATACGGTGAGATTTTTGTTTAATTATTACGCATGAGTGCTAAATCGGCTAAGGTGTTTTAGTTAGGTGAGCCCATCATAAATTTATAAGCTATTATTAGCTCTTTTACCTGAAATTTTAGGTGTTTAAAAAATTTTCCTTTTCTCCTTCTATTTCAATGTATGTAGCATTCAGGTCGTTATCGCGATTTAATTAGGTGAACCCATCTTAAATTATAAGCTTTTATTAGCTCTTTGGCCTAAGATTTTAGGTGTTTAATAATTTTTACCTTTTCTCCATCCATTTCAATGTAGAGAGTGCAGGACGTTATCGCGATTTCCAGAATAGGATGTTAGTAAGACTTCTAAGCGTGTTAATGCACAGAATGACTGAAAACGTAGAAATAAGCATGTTCGGAAACTTTTATTGGGGATAGGAATTAGCTTGCCGGAGATAAGAATAAATAAGAGGTAAACAAGGTCAAAATTTCTGAGCCTCAAAACCTCATTCTAATATTATGGGGTAATCGAACGGTCGCTTGTTTGTAAGGGCACACACTTCTCTAGGAGTAAAATGATCGAAAGGCACTCCTCTGTCTAACACCACTTTTTTAAAGTCAGAGGGACATTATACTTCACTGCATCGTAGACAGCGGTAACGATTGGCAAATGACCAAAATAATACCTGTGCCCATGACAAGTAGATTTAATAGCATCAGAAATTAAGAAACGATATCTCATTAAGGGCCTGCTTCCAGCTTCAGTCAGAAAAAGTTGGATTCACTTACTAAATGAGAAGGGATAGCTTCCCATAGATGCATCTTGATGAATTTATCGTTTACCAAGGCTACTGCTTAACAGGTGCACGTAAATTCTAGCTCTGATTAGCTAATCCGATTTTAGGCTAATAGAACTAATTAATTTGTCCATTTAATCTTTTGGGATTTTTGTTACAAACTTAAAGAAATCTTGGTTCAGAAAGGAAGGATGACCTGGTTCATTCAAGACAGTAAGCAGGAATATATTGTCTGTACTAATAATTTTTTTTTTTAAACTTTATAATGACATGTTAAGCCTTGAAGTAAATACGTAAACATATGCGTTTTAGTAAGAGATATTTAGGACAAGTAGAGCTAATCTCGTACTAATTGTGACCTAAACATCTTAAATAAGTTGGTTTTCCACACACGCTATCGGTGTAATGTTTTATAATCTTATAAAGTGTGAAACCCGTGCATACTAGGCGCGCTTTCCAATTCCTTAAATAGTTTAAAAAAGCATTTGTCAAGTTATTCTTGATACAAAAGGCAAACTTATAATACAGTTAGAATAAGTAAAATATATTTAACATAGTTAACGTTTCAATATTCAAAATTGACAAACATGGTTTTTAAATATATGATAAAGTTAATTCTTAATTAAATAAAAGTTTTTAAGAGGAAAAGTCTATCTCTATATCACTGAAATGCAAATATTTTTAATTAGTGCCCACAATATAATAAACAAACCTAATATATTATTTTATTTAAACCAGTTCTATGTTTTAACTAAATCTTCTATTAAGTAATTTTTAAGATCGCTCGTCGTTTGCGCCCATAAAAAAAAATCATTTTACCCTCTAAACTTTGCGCTTCACACAGAAAGAGAAAGCATTTTTATAGCAAGTATAAACTTAAACTACAGCTTGTATAATTTTAATGTCGGTGGTAATTAAATTTAAACAAAAATGCTTTAGCAGGGCAACTGTACCCTCGCACACTACATTAGAATTGCACTTATTCCACTTTTTTTTTACTAAACACTACATGAGCTCACATACGTGGTACGGCCCATAAGCCCCAGACCTACGGATTTCTGAACGACATTACTCAGAAAAGTTTTCATTACTTTTTATTAGAATTTTTTTGTTTTTCAACACACTTATTATATCGGTAAATTAACCTTTTTAAAGCCGTAAAAATAGTCGGAAGTTTTGTGTTAATAAGGTGTAGATACGGTCGATCTCTTCACTCTCATCATTAAATGACTTCCCCCTAAAGTCCAGCATCAGTTTTGCAAAGAGGGAAATAGTCGCTGTTGGGCCAGGTCTGAACTGTAAGGCGGATGGTTCAGTTCAATTAAGCTATTCTCCCGAACCGCATTTTGACAACTGCAGCGGAACCGAAGTATTGTCGTACGGTCGCCTCATACCAGGACTGTGGGTCTCCACGCCAATTATTTTGATGACATCACGCAGTTTATGTAGTTAAGCTGGGGGGTACATCCCCTTTACGGGGTGTCCCTCTCAGCAAAATGCCCTTAAAACCCCAGAAGACTGTGCCCATAAATTTTGGTTGTTGGGGGCCTTCTTGCGTTTCTTTGTGGTGGCTCACCCCGACGACGCCACACCTTGATTCTCTTTTCGAAAAATTATTGTAAAGAATCATAGTGTCGTCTCTTGTAACGATGGACTCATTTACTTCTTTTAATTACGTGGGCAAAGCTTTAAATATTACGACAGCAATCCACACGTTGTTTTTGAAGTGGGTGAAAGTTTGGGCATCCATCTTGCGCTTATCTTTGTCATATCTTAACGGTCGTGAAGAAATCGAGCGACCGTGCTTTTTTAAAAATTGGTGGATTCTACAATTTCCTTGGTTTTTAAAGGCTTTCAACTAGTACTACTTCTTACAACAAATTTTATATATTTTGGGGTGGCCACTTCTGCTGGACGGCTTTGACGTGAGTCATCTTTAACAGAATGACTTTTTAAACGGAAAAGATTTGACCATTTTTTCACTATGGTGGCGGAGGATTGCTAGAAACAAATTTAAGATTGTTGGATCCCGGTAGGTTTAACGCTCTCTCTTTAAGAAACTTTATTACTAATCTTCAATCCTAAACATTTCGCAACAGTTCTTAACAGACGCTACTCATTTGATTATTACTTTAAAATACGTTTGGACAGATAATTGGATAATTTTTGCGTATTTTTTTAATAAGAGAGGCCCCGAATTGGTGGATCACACCACATAACTTAGTTAAATGAAAAAATAAAAACTGCTAAAAACGATTACAAAATTTATAAAATTAGTCTTTTTGGGCCTTTAAAAACTTTGGAAACTAGTATTTATTTGCAAAGCAGAAATATGTTATAATATATATTTGTTTAAAATAAACTATTTTTATTACAAAATAATAGTACAAAAATCTTGATATTAATATTTTAAATAAAACAAAAACCACTTTTTGTATATAAAACCTAGCAGTTTAAAAGATCAATTACCAATATAAATAATTTACTGTTAAAAAAGTATTGGCAATAGTTAACTTTGTCTTATTATCGACATGTAACTGTTAAACAGGTGTGACCATATTTAGTATTCGAACCTTAAACACCAACTGTGTAGAAACTAAGTTTAAGATTTATAGAAAAGCTAAGTTTCACATGAGGAAAACAGTACCTCCTATAAGTTAAAACTACATTGCCACTAATCCCCTAATTACATTTATGACAAATGGAACTTTATGGAAAAACGGTATTATGTAATATTTATGCTACAAGTCAACAAATGAACTATAGAAAAAGGAAAAATGATCTGGTAAATATACTATAATATAATAAAAATGTGTAAAAACAATGTGTAAAAACTACATAATGTGGCCAAAACTTGTATTTCTCGTAAAGTTTTTTTAAGCATAATTATGTTGGATGAAAAGCAATCTGGTTATTAAAAATTTAAAAACTTTTAACTATTTTCACTCGGGTTTTGGAAAGCAGTAAGTTGTCCTTATAGCCGGTGTACTACTAGCCGTAGGTCGCTGAGAAGTGAGAATTGCAAGAGTATTTTGCCATAATTGTTATTTATATAATTTTATCTTACAAGTAAAGCACTTATTTATAAAAAGCTTCGCTTCATGAGTTTTTCACCTCATGATAGAAAAATGAGCGCAATTCGCTTTTTGAGTCTACAGCTATTAACCTATTAGTATACCCTTCTTTCCTTTTTTCTAGTTACAGTTATGCGATAAGTTGTATAATGCTACATATTATAAGAACTTTTTTAAATGCTCTGCTTTAAGTTTTAGATTTGAGGTTTAAACCTCATATAATTGCCCGCAAAGCTATTTATAATAAGTATTTCTCATGTAATTTAAACAAGGCAACTTTGAAGGCTTACACACTATAATTTTAGAATGTAAATTTTTTTTATATGACTCGCCTAAGAAAGCTTGGTTGGTAGTTAAAAATTCTTAAGAATGGTTACCTTAAGCAGTTACTAAGCATTAGCAATAAGAGACAAGCACTAACAACAGTTTGTTAATATAGAAAAAAAAATGAAAACTACTAAAAACATTTTTTTATTTACTAAATTAAAAGACTAATTACAACAATCCTTACAAATGGGTTTACGGTCTTGGTTGAGTGTAAAACCCCCAGAACTAAGTTGCTTTAAGCAATTAACACACTTAAAACACTTCTGATGCCAGTTTAGATTTTCATTTAAAGATAAATAAGCGCCAGATACATATTTCCCGCACTCCAAACACTCTGGCAATCCAGCTGCTTTACCTGCGCACACCTCACAATAGGGTTTACCGTCATGCACAGTGAACCCGCCAGAAAACGGAGTTCTGCAGCCAAAGCAAACAAGACATTGCTTGTGAAACGATCTATCAAGCGCCTTAACCACAGCACCAGTCAACTCTTCACCGCAAGTATAGCATATGCCTTCACCTTCAGATGGCTGTACGGGGTTTGATAAAGGCGCCTTCCTGTTTGGTTGATTAGAACTTGGCTTGGATTTTGGGTGAGGGGCCATAACGTTGTGCGCTCCACTTTTTTGATCAGCAAGTGGTTTATTTCTGGCTTTTCTATCCGCCCGATTTTGAGCTTTAGTTTTAAATCCCGGTTTATCGCTGCCACAATTTTCGCAGTACTTTTCCTCATCATCATCCAAAAGGCAACCACAAGAGTCACAAGTACATGCCGAGCAGTAAACTACCTCGTCCGTGGTTAAGGGCTTCTCACAGGAATCGCTTTAAAATAATAAAGTTTATTAGCTGAAGTTAATTTACAAGGCAGTAAGTAAGGGTTAACCACAAGCAGCGCTCACAGTAAGACTTTCCATCAAATTTTACAAACTTTATTTCGGTAGTCCCAATTGACGATTTTTTCGGTCTACCACAGCGAGCGCAGGAGCACAAAAGACAAGTAACGTTGTCGCCAAACACGGCATACTTGCCTCCGTCCAAGACGGTAGAGCACTGACAACATACACAACGAGGACAGAAAGCTCTGGGGCCTTTTACGACCTTGGTGTCTTCATCAAGTGGGGAGTGACACTTACCACAAACACACTTCTTACAGTAAGAGTAATCTCCAAACTTAACGCCATTCTCTAAAGGAGACTTACAAGCGTAGCAAAGACAATCGTCACAAAGCAATCTAAGTATATATATAAATTATAATAAAATAAAGATTAATGTACTCTACCTTCCATCTATCGAGTTAATAGAGCGTTTAAAGGTTGAAGGTTTTCCGCATTCAGAGCACACACAGTTTTTACAATACTTTCCAGGGCCATATTTCTTCAAATTCTCGCTCTTATTTGGCGCATAGCAAGAATTGCACTGACACTCTACGCAGGCAGTGCCATTCTTATATGGAACAGAGGCTTCCGCGCGCTTGCCTATAAGAGGTTTATCGCACAAAGAGCAGATACATTGGCGACAGTACTGGCTTCCTCCAAATAAACTTCTTTTGTCTTTGCGGGATAACGCAGCATCACATTTTGCGCAAATACAGTTCTTACAGTATGTCTTATTCTGAGGATTGTTTTTACAAGGTTTGCAAGGCTGCATTTGCTCCCTTAAGGGCACTTTGCAACTACAGCAGATACAGTTGCTACAAAATTTCTCACCGCGTTTTCTAAAAGCTGCATGTTTTCCAACATACTGTCTGCAAAGGGCACACAAACAATCTTTACAAACTTTATCATTATCCCCAAATTCTCCAGTTTTCGGAGCAAGAGTATATTCTCCAGAAACTAAAGGCTTTCTGCATTCACTATCGGCACACAAACAGTCTTTACAATACTTCTTTCCATCGTATATTGCTGGATCTTCCCCAGCGTACTTTTCACAACCCTCCCTGTGGCACATGCAATCAAGGCAATACTTTGATCCATCAACGACTTTGTAAAGATCATTGGGTATATCCAAAGGCCGTTTACAATTTTTATCGGCACATACGCAGTTAGGGCAGTATTTCTTGCCGTTGATAGTGACGGACTCGGGGCCAGCAGGAGAGTTACAGGTGGCGCACAAGCAGTTTGGGCAGTATCTTTTTCCGTCGCACTCTTTAAACATATTATCGACAAAGGGCTTTCGGCACTCTTCATCAGCACAATAACAGTTTCGGCAATATTTCTTACCACCCTTTTCTAAAAAGTCGGTTCCAGTCAAAGAGCGGCAATTACTACAGAGACAATCGGGGCAATACTTCTTACCGTCAACGACCCCATAGGTTTTATTATAGAGAGGTTTTCTACAATTTTCATCAGAACAGACGCAGTTAGGGCAATACTTTTTTGAATTAAACACAAAATGGTTTTTAGGATCAATAATATTCTTGCAGGACTGGCCTGAGCATTGGTTTTCTTTATCGCAACTAGGACAAATCTTATCGCAGGCTGAAACCGGACCATCGTCCAAAGCACGGTATTTTCCTGGTTTAACACATTCTTTGCATTTTTTACAACGGCACTTTGCACATGAGAAGTGAGAATCCGAAGAGTCCCACTTGAAATTTTCGTTAGGATCACAGGGATTTTTAGAGCAAGTATCGCAAAAAAAGCATTCGTTATGAAAAGGTTTTCCCTGGGCATTCACATACTTGTCATCAGATATCCCTTTCTTACAACGTAGACAGCATAGTTTCTCAAAAGCGGCTAAATTCAACTGTGGGCCTTTATAACCGGGCATAGCTCTGACGGCTATACCTAACCAATAAATGTTAATGCAAACATCTCTCAAAATCTTGTCCCAAATTTTTTGTCTTCGCTCAGCATCTAGAACTTTTTGCCCTCCAGTTTCTGCATCAACACCTTCATAAAAACTGTTGGCTGAAAACAAGGCTACACGGACAATGAGAATTAAAAATAAAAAGTTAAAAATTAATATAAGTTAATAAAATACTAGTATCCTTTAGTCCAATAGCGCGGCAAGCATCTAGAAAGGATTGCAAATTTTCCATGGAAGGAAAGGGTGCATGGCTTTTATTAATGCGTCTAACAGAATTAGGTTTTATGCAGTTAATAAAGCGGCAAAGCCTTTGCCCATCTTTTAATCCTGAATGAAAGTCCTCATTCGTAGCAAACTTTTCTTGTAAAACAGATTCTATCCACTGAATACTTTCTTGCTTGGCAAGCTCAAGATCGAACGCAGAAGTATCAGTGAATTGCCCTGAGACTAGATCGGAACTATCGTTCATTTAAAATATTAGAAATATTAGAGATAAAATAATTAATACTATATTAATCAAAAGTAACGGGTAAAACTTAAATTTAATTCTACAAACAACGCGACAAAAGCTAAAGCAAAACTCAAGACCCACGGATTAGCTGTGAAAAAAGTTAGACTGTGTTTTATATAATTAATTAATGTCATAAACCAATCATAAACTCTCACATGTTAAGCGTGACCAAATATGGTAACTTTTGAATTTTTATTAAATTGGCTAATTTGCAAAAAGCTAATTAGAAAAAAAATAGTTAGCATGAAATTTAACCCAATAGCTATAGAGCAAATTAGCCCAGGTTGCTAACTTAACCATGAAAAATTAAAAGCTGACACTGAGTAAATATGGAAATACGTTATCAGGCCGTTTAATAAACCATATAAATAATTATATGTAAACACTAAACCACAAGTGCGTCTGAGGTTACGTTTTTGGAACTACCAAATTTAAATATTCACAAAAATAATTTAATAGAAATATTTTTTGTTTAAAGTATGAGGGTAGTGGTTCAAGGAAAGCACTCATGTGATTATATTAATTTGGTTCGTGTACCCCCTGCAGTTTTTTTCCTTTTCTTTGTTTGTGTTGCGTCTAGGAGTGTATAATAATCAAATAAATCTATAGTGTCTTTTAGTACTTTGAACACTTTCTTGTACTATATGCTTTATTGTCTACAATATACTTTATATCTATATATTACTTTGCTGTCTATAGTATACAAGTTTTCGAAAACCTACGGCCTGTGGAATCAAGATAAGGAAAGTTATACTTATGGGGGCAGTAATAAGTTATTATAAACTAATCTCATTTGGTATATAGTTAGTCAATAGCACCACGAACGGTAGCGTGTTTTTTAATGATGCTCCTTACGCAGTCGAATTAAGTTACTTTATCCAAGTGAAAGAATTATGGGTCAGTAAGAAAACCAAGTTTTCTATGTCTTTACATGTATAATATTTGAAGTAAGATATTTAGTAATAACGAGTCGCTCATATTACCATGAATTGCGAATTTTACAATCTATTTTTTCGTTAAAAATAAATTTTATGTATAAAAGAATGCTTAAAAAAATGAACGAACTTAAAACTGAAGAATGAAAGTAAAGTTGACAGCTAAATTTTATTACTATAAACATTATAACCCCTTTACAAGTGCTACTAACAGTAAGGTTTAAATGAGTCACCCAGTGAAATAATTGCGAAATCATAAAGTCTACTCTTTCCATACAAAAATAAGTTGTACACGTTATCACACAACTTAAAATTTTTTTAAAGATAAGCTCATACCAGCAAAAGAAGGGGCGTAAGTTTTTTTCAGACAAGCGAATTATAAAAGAAGAATATTTATTAGTTACCCCAACCAGTTATGATGAAAACAGCACTGACCACATCCCTGAATGAAAGTAATTATTAGACTAAACTTGTAGGTATAAGTATATAATTAATATTAATACTGTTTATTATTTTTTTAAATAAAAAAAAAATTGGTTATTATACTAATCCAGAGTCGCCTTTCAACTCCTTTACTTTTATATGCGCAACGCAAACTATTAAATGTGGTCAATTCAGAACCTACGGTGGTGTATGTGTATCAGCAATTGCTTGACGAGCTAAAGACACAAAGCGTTATAAAGCATTGTAGTTAATGTATATTCAATAGGATCCTCGGATATCTATTACTGCTAAGGAAAATACATTATCGCGTTTAATCGTTTAAAAGTGAATGCGCCATTGAAAATGTTTGATTTGTAGTTTTTTTTAAAATTTAAGAAAATACAATATACTGGAAACTCTGTTATCTGTTTTAAAAAGACTCTACTTTTATCTGCGACTGGCGCAAACTAAATTAACTATAACATAACATTTTTATAGACTACCGATATGCGTTAAAAGAACTTGACTTTCTAAACAATATCATTGAAACGTTATTTTAAAACATGGCAAAATGTTTGGTACCGGCAGCACAAAACATTCAGCGATATTAGCCCAATGGTTTACATGCATTAACGTTATGTTATAAAACTGTTAACCAGAAATCAGAAGAAAAACAGGCAAAATTATATTAAAAGTACGGAAAAATGCTGCACTTAATAATTAGGGAATGTAACGTGGTAACTACTTTTAATGGCCAAAAGTTTTAATACTATGCGCTGGGATACATTAAAAGACCGCACACAATCCTCAGTAAAAAGCAACGGGATAGCTGTGGAACTAGACTTGGGTAATTGACTACCAGGTTTACGGAATCAGCTAAGCGGCGTGCGTGCTCCTGCTTGTAAGCCACTAACGGCGTGCGAAGGCTTTTGTTTAGAAAGGCGTATGCTATGAGTGACTGCATTTAACACTATCTCACTCCCATGAGACACCAATGCTGGTGCTATGCAATACCATACGGCTTTGTATAGTTAACTAACTGGTCGTTTGGATCGAGCCGGTGCGGTATGGTACTTGTACTATATGCTTGTCGAAAGCTATTAGTGCTTGTAGCTATGATACCTGACTCGCCGCTTGGTGATTAGGGTCGTAGTGAATAGTGCTACTTGCTATACGATAGTATCTAGTATATAGTATAAGTACTGTACAATGACGTGTAGGTTACTAGCATATATATACATACAGTGTGGCGGGCCCCTAGATTGCAAGAGATGGAGGGATGTATATTACCCGAAATACTGGTTGCCAAAAATATTGTTGCAAACCCAATAAAAATGTCTGCGCTTATAAAGCACTAATTAGCTGGTCCGCTGTAAGGCCTATCGCTAGATTAATGTTAGTATTGCTCCTTACTCTCATCGCTTCTTGACTTAAACAAAAGTATTTTATTTGTTGGCTAATTATTGTAACAATTACATTCGATATGTCAACACACTTTTATTGTAATGGTTTTTAAATAAAAGGTATTAAGGTAGAAATTAAAGAAAACTTGCTTTATGACTTTTTTATGTATAAAATGAACTGTTATTACTCGTCCTTAACGTGATCAATCCCACTGAACTTACAAAATTAAGCCGTTTTAGCAAGTAATAGCCCTTAATTATTATCTTAATTATATAAGTTTTATGTAAGTTTACAACTATTTTATGGTAAGTAAAAAATATAGCTAAATTAACAAAAAGTTAAGCCGCACAATAGGGATCTTTTTTTACACAAGTCAAAACTATATAAAAGAGTCTTATTTAAAGTTAATAGATGACTATCAATTTTAATAAAAAATTGATTACTTCGGTTTAAGTATTATGTGTTTAGATAATGAAAATCTGAAGTTATACTTAAAAAGCCTCTACGGTGCTTTTTATCCCACAAATTTATTAAAAGGCTTATATAAATTGTTGAAACAATACAACAGAATATTTATAAAAGAACACAAAATTTCTTGTCGCAAGTGAAATTCATTTATTTCTAACCTAAAATATAAAACTAGCTGAGTACTATGACTAAAAGAAGTGTTTTATAAATTACTAGCGAAATCAGCTTTTAATTTTCAGAAAGACGACCACTACGACTAAACACAGAGTAATCAATAATATAAAGAGCACAAGGCACATCTTATTCCTCGACTTTCTTTGATGGCCTTGAGCCCGCCTAAGCTCCTCAGTGCCTTGATTAACATTGTCCGAGACGGATCGGATGTTGGACTCTATGTCCTCTACGGTACAACCAAAACTTTTTTTTTTTTAACTTTAGAAATTTTTAAAGGATGCGGACCGACAAGGAATCGTTGATCGTGAATCAAACTGCTGAGATCTCTGAATATTCCATTTACTTCAACAATGGCGTCTTTATAGTGCATTAGAATAGTTAACTTTTTATATAATATATGTTATTACTTTCAAGCTCTTTTATTTCTTCTTCTCTTTTTGCAATTAAATTTTCATTACTTTGTAAATCCCAACTAAGAGTGGTCTGTTTATTACTTAATAATATATAAAATTAATAAAACCTACAAGTTAGTCGTAATGGGCAATAAAAAAATATTGCTTAGAGCAAAATGTATTCATTATTAAAACACTTAAAACACACAACTACTCAACTCCTGAAGCAGTCTCTGACTCTCGTTTAGCTCTTCAGAAGAAAATTCGTCTTGATCTTGAATTAATATTTTAGCTTTATCTACTTGGCCTCTCTCCTAAGAAGAACTAATGTTAATTTACTAGGAAAAAAATAGTTATTTGAAAATAAGACCTTAACAATAAGTGCCTTTTGAGCGGCCTCAAAACGTTCCAAGCGCTCTGCAAATCTTTTGTATAACTTATTTTGAACCAGTCTCTTTTTATGCTTTGCAAAATTCCATTAAATTTTTAGAGGACTTATGAGAACACAGTTATTTGTAACGTTATGCTAATATTAAAATATTAACCTCTAGTCTTGGGGGAGTTAATGTAAGCCTCTGAAGTTTTTTTATTAAAGAAGCAGTTTCCTTAGCAATTATAGTTGATGCATTTTGTAGTTCTTGGCTAGAAGTAGTGTAAGTTTATTAATTACTATATATAAAAAATATAAACATTTGCTCCAGATAACTATTTAAGCTCTTTTCTTGGCCAACACGAAGTGTTATATTTTGTAAAAAGTCAGTGTTATCCGAAAGAAGATCTATATTTTTGGAAATTTCGTCAACGCAAAAATTATATTCTTTGAGATGTTCCTCTTCCTGAAAACTGAAAAAATATCATATAATTTAAATATAATTTTATTTTCAATTAAAACCCAATTTCAATAATATTAGAAGGAAAGTTTGATTCTTGATCGATATTTGCAAATGACATAGGTAAAATGAAAAAAAATCGAAGAAAAAGAAGCAAAACTCCGGTGCTGATAGTTGGTCTGACATGGTATGGCCGTATGAAAGGGAAGCCCAAGACAGGCTATCCCTTTCAAAAACTGCTTACATTCACCTTTTAATTAATTTCATATTACAATTTATAACTTATAACTAATTTTTTGAACAGTACAAGAAAATGTTATTTTTTTTAACAGTTTACCATTTCATAATGACTTAGGCAGGCCCATATGCTGTTATTGTTCGAAGACAGCTTTTTGTTAACTAAATTTTGTTAAGTATGGCCTATTAAGGTATATAGTGTTATCAAATTTAAAGAGAAAGTCAAGTAAAATTTCACTTCGACTACAAGCTAACTTCATCCGATAAATTTTAAAAGTGAGCTTAAATTAACGTTTGAGGGTATAGCTCTCGGCTCAAGGCAGATGTTTGCCTGTGGTCGGGAAGAGAACTAGCTAAATACTTGCAGCAAAGTTGGTTTAGTTTTAATATTTTATTTTATTATTCTCTTTTTTATCCACTAAGTTCTGTGCAGTCATAGAGACACATAAACTATTAAAAAAAAACCTCGATTAGAGATTAATAGACCTACTTGCATTTTTTGTAGTTCGATAAAATGAGAGCGAAAATTATAATAATATTAGCTAATCGCTAAAGGTTTCCATCAAATGCTAGGGTTGAAATACACAGAAAAGTATGTCCATGTACAATTAAAGACTTCCAGGATTTTTAAAATCGGAAGCATCCTTTCACTAATTTTGGTTATCACAACAGGCTTTCTCCACAGTTAACTTTAAAAACCTGTTTATGTTCGCATACCACAAGCAAAATTTCTACTGATTATTCAAGAAAAACAACATTACAAAGAAAAATATTGTGTATTAAAAATTAGTATCACTTTACAAGACTTAGGATTTAGCTTCTCTGCTAGGAGGGTCTCCCACAACGGTTTGGCAGTATACAAGCATTATACTACACGTTAGCATTAGCAAAAAGTCTAGAAAGTTCTAGAATAGCTGGTAGAAATACATGTTTACACAATAAAAACAAGCATCCATAACTATATTTATTATAGTTTATTTATTAATCACATTACACTATTCGCGAGTGTCAAGAATCGCAATGTAATCTTGAGGAGAGGCCAAAACAAATTTGACATTTAACGCCCTATAGCCCTATAAAAATATTATCACCTTTACCATAACTGTAACAACCATAAATCATATAAATATAGGTGAAAAAGCAGTTAGCTTATTTTTGAAGTAAGTAAGTTTATCCAAGAGGGACAAGAATGGGTCTAAGTACTTAAATTAAGACGCAGCAACGCACCAAAATATATAATTTTTTTTGTTTTCAGTTATGGTCTCCTCATCTGCATTTAGTTATAAGGAAAGAAAGATATACGCTTCCCCAGCTCGAAAAATGGATTCGGTTAAAACTATTAGAGAAGAACTAAAAGTTATATAAGCGAATTGGCGCTTTTTAAAGAAAAGTTCCCAGTTCACGATTTTATTACACCGAAAGTTGACCATTACGCTTTATAAATGGCCAGCATACTGGACTATAATATGGCTATTACGCTAGCACTTTACTGAAATGGTAGCGCTTAAATAATGTTAAAAAAATTTAAAGATGAGCCAGAGGGAAGAGAAGTTTAAAATCCTTTAAAAAAAAAAACTTTGAGCTCATCATCTTATAAAAGAATCTATTTAATTAATAATAAAAGTGGTGGTAAAATTAAAACTAAAGCTGTAGCGATGACTACGGACGCATTAAGGCAGGAACAGCCAATAATATCATTGATTCACTCTGTTCCAATTCGCGGGGGTGAAAAAGATGGCTTCAATGAAAGTCAAAATGGTAATAAACCATCGAACATGCCTTGCAAAATTTCTGATGTTGCTGGGCTTCTCTTGAAGGTATTAATAAAGTGGCACCTTAGTGACGCTCTTAAAAACCCTGCAAGAGGCCCTTAAGAGAAATAGTTGTATACTCTCGTCGGTAACAAACAAAGTAGCTTGGCAACAGCAAGGCAACATGCATTTAGACGGAGGTCCAGGAATCACTATCATGCGTAATGAGCAGTACTTGCGCGACAAACCAAGTTCCATTATGGGGTACTCTATAGGCATTTTTTAATATATAAGCAATTTTTAAACACAACATCGCTGCCAGACAAATGGGAAGAGCACCGTTAAGGAGGGCATCCATTTTTCGGAGTCATGAGAAACTTAACACCTTGGGCACCTCAACTTTAAGAGCGGCCCCTCATCGCTGAGTTCGGGTTTCGCTCGAGAAAAAAAACGGTAGTAGGATTTAAGCTGCCACGCATTAATTAATAAGGTGTAACTACAACATTCTAAAGATATAACTTCTTTTCACCCCTACTTAAGTAATAAAACTTTGAGTTTATCCAGGAAAAGAAAGTACGATGTACTAAAAAACGCTACGAAGTATTTACATATTAAAAAAAGGTTTTAGAATTTTCTGATTTTATTTTTAATGAAAGTTATTTTCTCTTGCAAGCACAAAACCACCTATCTTCCACATTTTTAACTTTTTTCGGCAAACTTGTTAAAAGAATCGTTACAGCTAAATTCTAAGGAAAGTAGAAAGTTCAGACACTACAAAGTAATTTTAAGGGTCACTCTCTTCTTTTTTGAACTGTTTAAATTGTATTTTTCTTTACAGGGATGCCATAATACGGTGAAATTGGTCAACTTTTTTGGAACACTTAATGCATTTATAACTAATTAAAATAACTAAATAAAAGTAAAGTATGTAAGTTTTATTTTTAAGTCTCTTCAATTTTGTAAGAAGAGATAAGAGATAAAGGAGCCCAAGTTTCTCATATTATATTAATGATATTCCTTTTTTATTTCCTTAAGTTTGTAAATAGCTAGGTCCTCGCAAATGGTTTTAAATGGGAGTTATTAAATATTTTTATTCAGTATAACTATAATATAAAATTCGACAGAAATGTTAAGAGCACCGTTCTATAATTAAAGTTGATAATTTAGAACCAACGTATTATTCACTTTAAACTTTCTATATAACAACAGTTTATTAAAAAAGAATGCTTAATAATTTGGAATTACTTTTACTGTCACCTTAACCGAATATACAGAGCTCCATTAACGTAACCCAGGAACCTGCATAATTAAATTTCGTCAGGTTTAGTAATTTGTCCACAAAAATATAACGTAAAGGATTAAGATTATACTCTACAACACAAATCTCTCTTGAAAGTTTGGAACTTAATATAAAAAAAATATGCTATAAGTAATAAGAAGTAGTTTCACGCTGTACGAAGCTAACTTAAAATCCTTTAACTAAATAGTTATGATAGTCCAAATTCTAAAATTATTCCAAATTTATCTTTATTCAAAGTATACATTCTAGATTAAAAGAAAAAATTACTATTATATATCTATCTATCGTTTTGCCATATTACAGCTGTTATACTTTTTTGCAACTTAAACTGTAAAATGTATCCCCATTCCTTCTTAACAAAGTTGAAATCCCCTATAGCCCAAATGGTATTTAACTTTAAAAAGTTTGCCATCCTTTTCTTTTTTTTCTAATATAGCCTTCAAAGTACTTTTTAAAATATATATAAAAAAGTTAAGATCACTTACATTTCCAAAAGGGCAGGGAGATAGGTTAACACGCTAGCTATTAGATAAAGTGTTCTTCGTACTAAGTAAAAACACAGCCTACTTTTTAAGGTTGTAAGTTTGAGTAAAATTTAATTTTATAAACCACGTGCGTATTCTTATAATTTTATGGTTATAAAATTTTTTTGTCTAAATTAGTTTGCTTCATTACAATACTTTTTTATTTGAGTTTTTATGTTATGGAGGAGTTGTACCTATCAGCTTCAAAGGTTAGCCTTTTTCAATTTATTTATTGTAAAAATTAATTTATTTAAAAGATTCTCGACTCGATATTACTTTGTAAGGGTTCAGCGAAAACTCTTTGTTTAAATTCTAAAGATACTAATAAGAAAGTATTGTATGCTCTTGTCTGCGAATCTCTAAAATGTATTGCTTAATATGAATTTTTATGCTTAACGTTATTAGTTTTAGTTGTTTTTAAATAACTGACTTTTGTTATTAGATCGTTTAGTGATTAAAGAAATTTTACAAATTGCTTGTCTGTCTCATCTCTCTTTTGTAAGTTAATAGTCTTGCTTAACTTATGAAGTATTTTCTTTTAAGAGATACTATTTAGTTTCAAAGGAATTTATCACTCGTCCTTATCTATGATTTTCTCTTTGGAGGTGGCCTACGTTGTGGTGGCCGCTATAAATATATCTTAAATAAGCATAAAGATGGTCTTCAAGTAGCCTTGCAGCGTTTAAAATTAAATAAAAATGTTATTATTATAAATACTTCTTATACATACTATTGAATTGTTTACTTAATTTATAATTGTTGAGTTTAAAAGTATGTTTTTTGTTCCTTATATTTTTTTATTCTAGCATTTTTGTTTGTAAACTTTTATAGGTAAAAACTGTTACGGATCTCTTACCCCCTTTTGGTAAGAAACGCCTTTTTTAATATACTTTTGTTGGTTTTATATTTGCTTAACTAAATCATTTGTAAAATTGATTTATATAAATTTCTTTTAGTTTTTTAAATTTAATATTTAAGTAATTTAGTATAATTATAAATTTTAAGCTTCTCTTTATTTTTGAATTAAACTTAATTATTTTTATGTAGCGACTTTGCCTTGTTACGTGCGAGTTAATTTATTAAAAACAACTATTACGGCGGTGTTCGACCACTTTAAAAGTTCGGGCTTTATCTTCATAGAGAATTATTTTCAAGGGGAATTGTAAATTATTACTATTAGTGCATTCTGTTAACTTTGATTTTTTAATTTTTATAAAAGAAAAAAGAAACATTTTGCAAAAGACTCGCTTTTGAATGATCTTTTTATACTTCCTGCGAGCGCTGATCTGCACGAAGACTTTTTTTACAAGGAAGGTCTCATTATAATTCAGGTTTTAAAATCATATAAAAATTAAGTTTGATTCAAAATTCCGCAAAAACAGTGTGTAAGTGTATTATAGTAAAATATATTTTATATAATTATGTATTAACTTAAAAAAATATAACTTTTAAGCCAACATTAAAAAAAGGAAATTAAAATTTTTTCACTTATAGGATAAAGCCAGCTGCTTTCCTGCGCACGTGCTACGTCCGCCCATTGGATCTTCCGTTATTGACGCCTGCGCAGCGCCGGGAAATAAAACTTCCCATCTTGCAGCTTTTATGAGTTCTATCATTATTATTATTTGCACTCCTTATATATTAGAATAATTTATTTAAAAAGTTGCTAAACTTTTATATATACTTCATTTAATATATTTCGCTTTTTTTCTTAATTATAGTCTATAAACTTTTATTATTAATATAAGTAGTTTCTGTAAAATATTTTTTACAAAATAAACTGTTGTTAATTTTATATTTTAAATTAATTTATACGTAACATATATATTTATTATATTATTATCTTAGTAATATTTTTTTTATTAATTTAATTATAGACAATACAGGGATTATATATGCTTTTGATCTTAATAAAAACCGTTTAAAGACTTTACGAAAGCTCCATGCCCGCGCTGGCGTTACTTGTAACTCGTTTACTTTACTTTATAAATATAATGATTTGAACTGTTTAAGGCGTTGTCTCGAAACTTCAGAACTTTCTGGAAGTGGATCCGTGGGACCCTCAATATGCTAAGGCCTTTTTTAATACTTGATAATAGTAATAATAATAGTAATAATAATGATAACAGGTTGGATATATTTTAGTGGACCCCTCCTGTTCCGGCTCGGGGATTGTTGGCCGGCATAATTTACAAACGGATGGTATTTATTATCATCATCATTTACTTACCCTTATTTTAAAAGAAAACTTTTAAAATTTCTTTATTTAAATGTTGGCCAACTTTTTAGTATATTATAACTTTTTTATTTTTATTATAGTAAAAGTTAAATAATGAATAGATAATGATAATAAAATTCAAAAAACGAACCGCTTGAAAAGATTATCGGCATTTCAACTTTCTCTTCTTCTTCACGCTTTTCAATGTAAATCTCAAATACAATAATGATAATAATAATAATAATCATATTCATAATAATAATAAAAATAAAAGTTCCTTCTGTACAACGCGTGTGCTACTCCACGTGCTCAATTCATGTAGAGGAAAACGAATCGGTGGTGAAGATAGCGTTGTCTCTTCAAAAAAAGTTTGTTTTGGCCCCAATTTTACCCACGTGGCACCGGCGAGGCGATGAAGCAGTTTTGGGGGGTATAGTTTATTTTATTTTATATAACAATATATATCATTTTAATTTTATAGAAGATGCAAAAAAAGTTGTCAGAGTGTCACCTGTTGATGGTGCTAATGGATTCTTTGTGGCTCTTTTTCAAAAAAAGTGAATTTTGAATGAAGTTAACTATAATTTGGAGTGAATATTTTATCAAGTAAATTATTTTGCCTATTTTATTAATTATTTAAAGTTCAAAATAAAATTTCGCTATTGTTTTCTATAAAGGCTATTTCAAGTTTGGTAAATTGCTCCCATTTAAATTTTTATTATATATAAATCACTGCGGGGGCGGTGACGCGATCTCCTGAAACAGAATAAATTGTTTATGCAATTCAGTTGTATATCAAGTAGAGGCTTTATGATACCTCGAAACTTCCGTCCTTGGGCCGTTTACATCTGAGGGGCTGCTTTCAATTTTAACGGAGATTAATTACTAATAATTTAACACAACAAAAAAAGTAAAACCTGATCTATAAAATTACGAGAATTTTGCTCGTCGATTTGCTCATCATCGTCGATTTCTTCTCCATCTCTTTTATGAATGTCCCATTTCGGATGTGTAAATTTACATTCTGGTCCGGATGGGCAGAAACCACACAAATAATTTTGACACATCACCTTTTTCAGTAGTTAAATTGGATCTTTGCTAGATTTTATGATAAATTACTAAACTTTTTTATTATGACGATGCTTGCACGAAGGGCCGTGCTTGCAAAATCCACGAGTAAACCAAGCGCACTCGCTCATTTGCGAGTCAGGATCGATATGCAAGTACAAGCAATCGGTGCCTAAAAAAAAGAAATAAGATTCGTAGAGCTGGTGGAAAGTTACGCTCTTAATATAATAAATAGCGAATACCGTTACTGCATTCTTTATGAGTGGAATAAAAATGACAAGCCGCCATCTTGGATAAATCAAATTCATGCAAGAATTCGCACATATCACTTTTTTTACAAAGGCCTTAAAAAATTAAGTGATAAATACTTTTAATATTATTAAATAAAGATGGAGTTATAGAGAGGCAAAAAAATTTATAATATTTTTAAAAGTAATAGATCCAACTAAGAAGTCTGAGACGCAAGTCACACTAAAAAACAGAAAATCCCTTTACAAAAACAGAATTTATATTGAAAATGAATTTTCAACAATTTGAAAAAAAAAAAAGTAAAAAACTTTATGGGTAGTATTAATAATATCGAAGAGAACAACAGACTTTGTCTTAATAATTTAACTCGAGATACCTCTCATCCAGTGCTTACAGACAACAGTGGACTTAACGCCTCGTATATGACGGAAAGGACAAGATGAGCCTTTAGAACAGCCGCCCTTAACAAAATATTTGCACTTCTCTGCATTAATCTTATCCATTTTATCAAAAAGTGAAATGCCTAAACCAATCTGTCGGTTAAGTAGGACTTCTATTTTAAAAGTGACATCATTAAGATTTGCTATTATTGACTCCATTTTCTGTGTATAATAAGCACACAGGGTGCTAGTTGCAAGTAATTATAGTAAAATAATAGTAATTAAAAAAAAGAGCAAAGTTCCAAAGTGGGGGCTAGCCTACAAAAATATGTAGAATTAATATTAAAAATATTCTTCAATAAAATATATAATATTATATAATGAAGTAAAGGTTGCAAAAAAAAGATTCAAGATGTCATGTCGTATTATAATGCCTATACAGAACTAAGCAGAAATACTTTATAGCAGCCAGCCAATAACTTACACAGTACAAGTAGCGTGAAAAATTTAAACATCTTTTATTATTGGCTCGCGTAACGTGATCACTACTACCATATTTTACCTGGCAACTTGTCTTTTAATTTAAATTTTCTGCTCGCTGACTCTCTGGGCGGGAGTACTTTATTTATCTATGATTAAAGTTAATATTATAAGCTATGAGAAAAGATTTGGAGCAAAAAGAATTGAAGATATAAAATAGCTGTGGCCTTTTAATGAAAGTAATTCTTTTGCCTTTTCAGAAACTGAATAGCCTGTTTTAAAAGCAACTGTTACTAATATTACACCTATTGCAAGTGCAAACTTTGTGATTATATTACATAGTAAACATGCGCTGATAAAAAGAATAATAATGAAATAAAATTTGTATTTAGATAACTCAATACTTTTTATTAGTATTAATTATTTGATAGGTAAAAATAGTAGTTTAAAAAAATAAAAGTTAAACCGTGTTCCGTGTTGTCTACACATTACTGAAACCTCTCTACTCACTGTTTTAAACACAACCTTACTTCATATCTCACCTACTTTAATTAAGATAAAGTATTCGCCTATTTTAATTTTTTTAATAAATATTTACTTTTTGTCATAATATTTACCTACTATGATTAAGTCTTTTTAAATATACGGCTTAATATATCACTCTTTCAAATTTTTTGGTTTTTTAAACGCTTGAAATAGATGAGCATCGGGAACAGTTCTTACTTTCCGGCGTTTTAGTTGGATACAAGGAAGTTGGTGTCTTTGTTATGCGTTTTGCTAAGGCAGGAATCCCATGCTTTTAGGTCTCGCCAGAGTACCTCGACCTGTTAACCACGAAGGTTATAGGCTATATAAAAATTTTGGTTTAACTAAAGTTTGGATAGGAACATACTTAAGTTAAGTTATTGTTTCATTTTTGTAAACGCGCTAAAGGCGAAAGTTTTTAATTTATAGTTGCATGGTAATAGATAAAAAACACTAATCGAAATTGTGAGATTTCAGTATTTTTGTTTACTAAAAAAAATATGGCTAATAATAAAAAAGGTATAGGTATAACTCATATGTAGCCTCAAACACCTTTATATTTCAAATAGGCTTTGTGTATGGAAGTGAGAAGCTTTAGAAATTTAAAAAAGTCGATGAGTATTTTTGACAAAAACCCTATCTTATATGAGTTGAAAGTCAAGATTCTTCTTTGTAGTTCTCAGCTTGCACGTAATTCCACTGTTCAACTTTATAAATAATTTAAGGTAATATATAAATTTGTTTTAGTTTGCTATTCTTATTCTTTAGCCGGCGTAAACTGTTGGAAAGCCTTCAATTTCCGTTTATTTACTGTCGCATAGACCTTTATTACTAATAATTTCTATGCTTATATAAAAGTTTTGTTTAGTTACAAGGATGAGACAGAGCTAACAACAGTCCCTAAGTTTGAAAGTTAAACTTATGAAAGTTCCTTTTCAACGGAAAAGCACTCTAATTTTTAACTAAACCAACTAAATCGACTTATCTTTGGACATTTTAAAACCTTACTATTAAAGTATCGTCAATATTCAAAACATGACGGTCAACAATAACTAAAGCTCTTTAAAATCTTTTTTCGAATGTTAACCCGGTTTTTCCGAAATTATTAGACGGTCAGCTTCCACTAAGTTAATAGCTGGCTTAAAATACGTTAGTTGAATTTTTTAGAAATTGGGCAGGGTTCAGTGGAAAGGTCTTTTTATGGGAATTTTCGTAACAACATTTTAAAACGTTAACTTATATTTCTCCTACAATAATTTTGCAAGGATTGCAGAAATAAAATCAATATTAAGAACGGAGAACCTCGGTCAACGCGTTATACTGCAGTTCCAAGGTTTTATACCTTGGAACTAAATAACACAAACTTAACATTTTTACTAGAGAACTGGCAGTGCACGTCTTACCCGAGACGAAAAAAAAATTGCTAAAGTTAAGGTGGTCCTTAGAAATGGCCTAAACTAAAGGTCCACCTTTACCTTGATAAAAGAAGCCAGTTATTTAACCTTTATCACTTATGATAGGTCAAATGGGTAATACGAAAGACAAGCAAGTATTATGACTCTTGTTTCTTTATTAAAATCTTACTGTTTAGTGAACTGTAATAACAAATAAAGTTAGATAAGGCCAGTTGTACATTGTAATATGCTGAAAAACCCAGAGTTACTCCTACATAAAGCACAGTCCCCTTAATTGCAAAAGACTTAGAATAAATCTTGAACTTAGCAAAAGCAACGGAGCATCTTACCCATTTACTTTAACGCCAAGACTGCAACTTAAGTACTGTTATACAAAAACTTCTATTCTTACTAAGGAGCAAAAACACACAAAGAGCATTATTTACTACCTAGATGGTTTTTTATAATTGGAAGACCACTGCTTTAAGAGAATATATCAATATAAGTTAATTTATTGAAAACGTGAACTAAATTAATTATATAACACTCACTTCCTAAAGAATATATATACTTAAGTAAATAACACGGCTTCCTTTTTTTATCCTTGCGAGCAATTTAGTTATGAACTTAAAGTTTTATTCATAATCTGAATGTAGTAAAATTATATGTATTATAACGGTACTGTAATAAAAAACTTAGTGACAAAACACAAAGTTTTCATATGAATAAGTTTGCGCTAATGTCGTTTTTCACAAATAAATTTTTAAAAATTAGGAGTTTCTTAGTATTTATATTTGATGAACAGCTCTTACTTCTTTAAAGTAAATGGCGATTTATACATTTATTGTAAAACCATTTAATTTAGACAAGATAAAAAGTTGTAAAAGATGTTTTTTTCTACTTAATTTTTTATGGGAAATTGTTAAACGAACTTAAAAATAGCAAAAACTGTAAAAGACAGCAGAGATCAACAACACTATGAAGAATGGTCAACGCTCGAGGTTATGAATATAAAAAACTTGGGAATATAATAAAAACTTACACTGGAATTATTAGTTGCCTACTAATTTAAAAGACTTTATATTATATTAACTTTATTTTTAAAAACTTACTGGTTTCATCTTGAGTAAGCTTAAATTCGAAGCTAACAGGCGTTTGTCTCAACCCGAGTTGAGTTAATTTAGTCTTAAATACTCGATAGACTGCTACTTACATAAGAGCTTTTTTTCTATATGTAATAATTTAAGTTCTGAGGAACATCTATAACTCTGTCCACCTTTTTTCCTGCTTGGCCATCAGCTAAGCAAGGGAAGGGCACAGGATGCACACAAGAGCTCGTTTTAGAGTTTGCTCACGGGTTTTGTTTTGTTTCAAGTTTAAGCATGGATTGCAATTCAGCGACTCAAGTAAATAAAATATTGTTTAAAGCATGGAGAGAGCGATGGTCGCTAAAAAAATGGGCAAGTGAGGTACTTTACGCTTTTAAAACTGTCAACTTGCAATCAGTTATTCGTGTTACAGACAGAGACACTTTCTTTTAAAAACAGAGAACTGCTATGTGGTAAGGTTTATTCATAATTATTATAAATAGTTACGAAACTTAAATTGTATAGAGAAACTTTTTTCATTTGTCTCCTTTGGGAATAAACCAAGCTCCACCTTTATATGTTATATCGTACACGGTACTAATTCGAATCTTGCTAAATATTTTTGTATAACATTATTTTACTTTGCTTAATTTAGCAGTTGCTCTTAAATTCTTTTCCATCTACCAAATAGCAAATCTAGTTGTGCGAACTATTCACTACCGAAAGAATCCTGAACTTTTTTTTGCCTTTTATTCTATTCTTAATAAGTTTATGTTCAATCCAAGCGGTGACATTGGTTTGTTTTACAATTGATTCTTTTTTTATAAGTTCGTACTCATTTAAATTTTTTTTAACTACCTCCACCTTTGTTATAGTTAATCTTAAATGAGCCTCGTAAACTTTATAAAATGGGTATAAAGTTTTCAGTTTTTAATAAGAGATAAGTTTAGTTTAAAAATTGATTCTGCCTTTGAAGGTCTGAAAGGAAACGAACTTCTAATAAAGATAAATAAACTTTCTTATAGGTTTAAATATGACTTAACATATTTTATGGAGGCGTCAATGCAGGCTTTACCAGCTGTTCTTATTTTCATCTTTTTTTTAAAGAAAATGCAAATGCTGGTTTGTTTAAAAATGGTCGAAAAGATTAGTAAAAGACATTAAATGTGGTTCGCATAAAAAAATAACTTTGAAATCTTTGCTTAATGCACCTTGAAGCTCAGCTTATTGATGATCGCTACAATTATTATAAAAGAGCTCATAAACTTGGATTTTTAATTTGCATATTTAATTATATAAAACCTTTAAAAAAAATTAGTGTGATGAGTAATTTTTAAAGATAGCAAAAATGTCAACAATTCTTCGACGCGGTTTTTTTGAAAAAAAAAAAGCTAATAAACTTTGTTAAATCAGTAGCTTTATATTTTTTCTATTGTTCCCTATTTAAGTAATTGTAAAAAAAAAAAGAAATTTTCTAGAAGTGAGTCAAACTTATTTATAACAATAGTATAAGGAAGGTAGACCGAATAATTTACTTTGTATTATCAAAGCTGCCTCTTCCCTTTCGGAGGAGGACTGCCTTTTTTTACTGCTCCGCGTCACTTTTTAACGTACTCGAACCTTTAAAAGGTACGAATTGTAACTTACCACATACTTTTAAGACACAACTTTGCATCTTAATAAGTTAATTTAAAATTGTTTTTATTGCATCTTGTTATTTATAAAATTCTATTATGAAAAATCATTAGAACAAAGAGTAGATGTGGAGCCTAAAAATCAGATTCCTGAAGAAAACCTATTCGAATTGTGTTGTTCTTTTCTTCATAAAATTCTACTTGACAATCGTTGGAGAATCTTGCTTTATTTAGGAGGGATTCATTTTCCCCGTTAGTCGGTTTTTAAAAACTTTGCTTATCAAAATTACTTTTTAGCTAATTTTTATATATAAAAATTATCTATTCACATAAAAGTACTAATTTTATGATAAAATTTTATTATTCTGTATAACTTATGACTAAACTTAAGAACTTTTTTCGGAATTGCTAAAAAATTTAAAAGAACTTAACCTCCAAGAAACTTTTGCATCTCCTTTAAAAGAAAGCGAGGATTTTACTAACTACATTGCAAAATTTGTTGATCTTGAAAAATTTCCCTTTGGGTTTTTTCGTTTAAATTTCTAGAATTTTTTTTTAACATAATTATATTTAAATTTTTGTATTATAATTAGCATCAATTACCTTTACTTACTAAAGATTTTTGGTAATCTTTTACTTTTTTAAATTTTTTTAATAAATATTATCAAAGTATAAATTGGTCCACGGAAACAACTACTGCCTTGTGGAGGTTGAAGGAAGAGAGATCTTTTGGGATCGGCTTCCTGGCTCAAATTTTGGTTTCCTTTAGTCAACACCTTTACAAGAAAGAATCTTTTCAATTATTATTTATCATATGTAAATATTTATAGCCAGTTAAGTTCCTTTAAGCTCTTTGAGTTTTAAAACTGCGTTTTTTTAAATTTCATCGGGTGTGTAAAGTTATTTTAATAGCTTTCCGCGTATTTCTATTTTTTTTAAGAATTTTTTTTTAATATAATTAAATTTTTCTGCTATAGTAGAATTTAAAAAAATGAACAATATTACACTTAATATAGTTATTATAATGTCTTAAATTAACTTATAACTATAATAATTTTTAATTTACTTTTGTAGTTTTAATAACTTTATCAGTTGCAGAAAATATATTAATAGTAAAAAATAAAAACATTTTCAAATATAATGGATATTATATTAAAAAATGTCAAGAAAACTTAGAAAAAAAAACATTAATAAGTAAATGAATATAAAAATATGATATATTCAATAAATATTTATAAAAAATATTTACTTAAAAGATTTACTTTATTAACCTATTAATTAAAAAAAAAAAGTTAAGATAATATAAAACTAAATCGATAAGAATTTGGTTATTTGTAGACAACTTTATCTTTAAAAACAATTTTAATAATTATGTAATCGAAAAAGATACAACAGTAATATAAATTTTGAAAATTGAAAAATGGTTTTTATATTTTATAAAATTTCACTTGTAGTTTTTATATTGTACATATGAATTTATCTTGCTTTCGTTATTAAAATCTCTAAAGCTTTTTACAACAATCAAAATAATAAATAAATATTATTATGCAAATTTTTACATTATACATTCTAAACTATAGATAGTGAAAAAAGATATCAAACTTGTTATTAATACTAATTTGTGGTGAGAGACAAGTGGAGAATCACTTTATATAAAATAAATAGAAAAAGAAAAGTTTGGTAGTAAACTGAAAAAGTATATGTGATAGTTATAGTTATGATATTTAATATGTTGTAAACGATAGTAAACTCGATAGAGATATAATAATAATACTAATTATAATAACAGTAATAGTAATAATAATAATAACAAACGGTAAAAAAGTTAAATTGTAAACTTGTTGAGCATATATAATTGATATTTATTATAATATATGTCTTATATAAAATAAAAAAGTGATCCTTTTCTAGAATTATTTATAATATTTTAATATATATTTATTATATTTATATATTTCTTTTATCTTTTTAACTAGAACTTTACTTTTTATATATATAATAGAATCAATAGATATTTATAATAATATTATATATAAAATATATGGAAGTTTTTCATTTTTTACACTTTTTATAATATTTTAGTAAGTAATTATTTTAAAATTTTTATATATAAAAATAGGTAAACGGGGAACTTTATAATACTTATGAAGATTTCTTAAGTACTTGCGTTACGCTTTACTTTTTTGAGGTTTACTTGTTCATATATATACTTGTTTATAATAACTTTTTTATTTTTATTTAGTTGAGTTCATTTTATATAGTTTTTTGTTAATTTCATAAAAGTTCTTGACTAAATTTTACGTAATAAGTATATAAATATAATATTTTTCAAAAATATACTATAATTCATATATATATTATTATATTCGCTATACTTTTTTTCATTATTAATATTTTTTTTTAAAACTTTTTATTCTCCTCTGAACCAAAAGTACCAGAATACGCCAGAGGAAAGTTTTCATTGGCTGAAGACTCTTGTTTGCTACAGCTTAAAGTTTATATGTGATGCTTTAGAAAATGAAATCCCGTAAATTTTTTTTCTATTATTATAAACTTAGACTTTTTTTACTATTTTTTTTTATAGAAAAGACGTGCTTGAAGCTGGTCTTCTGCTTTTATTATTACAAGTAATGTTAATATTTTATTGTAAAGGATAATTAAAAGTTATATTAAATATTTTTATTATTATTTAAAGATCCCAAAAATTTCAGCTGACATGCTGAAGTTAGTGCCTTCCATTCAGGTTACTTTTATCATTTTATTATAGTAATTAATAAAAGGTTTATTTTTATAATAACAGTAATCATAATAATAATGAAGTGTTTCTTTCTAATAGTAAAAATAACTTATATATAAAAAATATTTTAATAGTTCGTTAAAATCATAAATAATTTTTATATGTATTTGAATAAATAAATGATAATTATCATAATAAAAGCTTAACGTTCATTCCTGTATATGTTACTTGGTCAACTCACCCTCTTCATGGCTTTACTTCCAACACTTTTATCCTCAATATAATAATAAGTATATTATTATTGTTATTAATATTGCTATTATTATTTCTAATATTATGAAGAAACTTTTTATCCGAATTCGGGCTTTCGTTAGCTTTTTTCGGTCTTTTAACGGTAGAAGAGTTGCCAAACCTTTTAAAAAACTTCGCTTGCGAGGCACACGTGGAATTTTTTAAAGACAAAAAAGTATATTAATTCGTTAAACTTTCCGTGTTCATTTTTCTATAAATTTTTTATGTATAAAACTATTTAGGAACTTTTTTTTGTTCAATCTATATATTTTCCGCTAAAAAAGGAAGAAGACTATTCGTATTTTTTAGTTATTTGGAGCATTATTTGTCAATTTTAGTATCTTTTAACTAAAAAGGAACAAATTAAGTATTTTCTGACATCGTGTTTCTCTTTTTTTTAATATTTCAATTCGTATTGGTTACTTATATTAATTTATCATATTAAACTTTTATTTAAAGTTCCTTTATACAAAAAGTATATATTTTTTATAATATTTTTGTTTTTTTTTATATCAACATATTTTTTATATCATTAAGTCTTTGGAGGGCCACTTACGCGGCACTCTGCAAGAAACCTCATTGGTTCATTCTAATGAAGAATTCTTAAAAGCACTGAGAAATACGTACACTATTAACAATTGGCCAGTTTATACTCATCAACATATTATTTCTTTTGTATTTAGTGAAGAGGTATTAATAAAATATTTATAAAAAATAATCAGAGTAATCATAATCACAATAATAGCTACTTGAAAAAGTTCTGGAAAATTCTTTGCAGCTTACCTACTTTGTAGACTTTGTGACTTCGCTGGAAACCAAAAAAGTTATTGAAGTTTGTTATGAGCATCGAAAACTTTATCACTTTTTATCAGTAGTGAATGACGAGCTTCTTACTCAGCCCGGCGAGCTTTATTATTATTATTATGATCACTATTTAACTTGTTATATACTTTTATAGTTTATTAAAAATGAATGTTTTTATATTTCTATTTATATATTTTTTGTCATTTTTATAACTAACTTTGTTATTTCTTATAGCTTTACTTCGTTTTTTTGACAAAACTTTTATCGAGTTGTACTTATTAGTAACCGAAACACGTTTGGTATTATTATTATATTCTACTATAATTCTGTTAAACAAAAAAAAGTCTTTAAATTTTATTTATAATAGAAATATCTCTAACAGTTTGAAATTTTATTAATTATAGAATTTTTACTTATAATATTTGAATTATAATTATTATTAAATTAAAGGACTTTAATCTTTTTTATTGTTAATTTATAATTTTTACTAAAAATTTTCTAATATTCATAAAACTTTATAGAAAAATAAATTTATATATTATACATATAAAATATTTATAATAACTAAGTATAATGAAGTAATTTTATTTATTATATTATTACTATTATTGAAAGCATTAATAACAGCGTCTAACTAATTCTAATATTATTTTATATTAATTTATAATTTTATAAATAAAATAAATTTTTTGAAAAAAGTCAATAAATTTTGTGATTGTTATCATAATAATTTATTATATTTATTGTATTGTTTGACATATTTTATATATAAAATAAATTCGTTATTATCAAATAGAATAGTATTAAATTTATTATTATTATTGAAGGCAGTCATAACGGCAGTTAACTTATTATTATTATAATATTTTCATATTTTTATACTATGAATAAATAAATTATTATTAAATAAAAGAATAGAATTTTGTTTACTATAATTATTATTAAAGGCAACAATAAAGGGATTTAACTTTCTATTTTATCAATATATTTAATATAATTATAGATAAGGAAAGCTTATCAATTCAAGTTTATTATTTTCTTTGAAGGCCATAAAAAATTTATTATTAAAAAATTGTTATTTCATTAAATTTTATGTATAAAATTTATTAATTAAATAAAATAAGTTTCAAATATAATGTATTTAAAAAATTATTATTTAGGAACTTTCCACGTGCAGAAATTCCGAGTTTGGAAAATGGTTTAACGAATTTAATTCTGGAAATAACAAAGACGAACTCAGCGAGGAATTTTCTATTTTACTGAACTCGTTTTTCTTGTTAACGTCACCCTCTAACGAGTGGAGGTAACTTTTTCGCAACTTTTTTAATAAAATTCCAAAAAATATTAACTTTTATAATTGTGATGTTTTGATTTATATTACTTATATCCGTAAACGAGTGGAATTGAGCTTTTTTTGCAACTTTTATTATGAATTTTTAAAAAATAAAATAATTTAATAAAAACTTTTTATATTGTAAATATTTTTTCCCTTTTCGTAATTATAAACGAGAGAATGAGTCTTTTTTTTGGTTTTTATAATAAGTTTATATATATTACATGTATATTTTTAAAATTACTTTTTATTATTATGCTAATAAATTTAATTGTTTTTTATTATTATAAAGTTTATGTTTATTATTAAATAAAAGTTTAGTACCATTGAAAAGTTTGTTTTGAAAAAGTTTTTATGAAAAATAAATTAACTTTTTTCAATTTCAACTTTTATATCTATAAAATTCATTATAAAATTTTTATTTTTACTTATATTAAATCATTTTATTTTATTTTTATGAAAAAAAAATATTATTTTTCTAGTAGGAAAACTTACATACTCATAAACAAAACTTTTTTATGTATTTTATATTTTTGTATACAAAAATAACTTTGAAAAGTTATTAATATATAAAACTTAAAATCATTATTTCACATAATTATAGAAAATAATTATTTTTTACTTTGTGAAAAAAATATTTTCATGTATACTTAAACTTTTTGTATGTAAGCTGTAAAATACATTTTTTTTATTACAAGAAAAACTAAACATTGTTCTCTAAAAAAAGTTTGTATTTAAAAAATGCTCATGAAAATATAGTTATGTATAAAATAATCAATAGTAACTTTAAGACGTTCAAAAAATTGAATAGAAATAAAAATATTCCTAATATTTTTTTATACGTAAAGAAATAAATATTTTTCAAAACTTTTAAAGAAACTTCATATGTACCTCTAACAGTAAATATATAAAAAGAAATAAAAACATCTACAGAATACTCCGCGTGCTTCCTTCTGTGTGCGAGCACGTGTTAGCCGAATGCGCCAATGGTCGCGTGGAATACACTTCTCTTCTTAATGGCTTTACATCGCTTTTCAGAGAACTCGAGTCTTCTATCATTCCCACGTTGCTCTGGCTAATCCGCGAGAAAGAAGGGACTTGCTTTAGCCAATTTTGTGAAAAGTGATAAAAATTATGATATTTAATAATTATAATAATAATAATTATAATAATAAATAAAAGTGGCGTTGATCTTGAGCTTCCCTTATCACTGAAACTTGTGCAAGACTTTATTTTTATTCTGCAAAACAATCACTTTTATAATAAGAAAAGTTTGCTGGAGGCTCTTAAAGAACAGCAACTTTTCTTTTTTAGTTCAAAACAGGAACCCGTGATGGAAGAAAGTTGTTTATCATTATCATTATTATTACCATTGTTATTATTATTTAGACCTTCTTATAAGCTTTTGGAACTGTTTTGATCAGTGTATCATCCTTGAGCGAGTCGTGTCAGATTTACTATACCATTTTAAAAATTGTATAAAGTACGCCAACCATGTGCATCTCAGTCACGAATTGCTTCACAAACTAACCATGTGCACTTATAAGAAAACTTCTTTATTAACTGGTTATTGTCATTATTGTATAGTTATATGTATTAATATAATTATTAATGTAGTCATTATTATTATTGATAATAGTATTATGCTATCCTAATCATTACTGACACTATTATTTATTTAATATTTTATATGAATCACAGCTACTTTGCTCGCGCTGCTTGTGTCATACGATGCGGAGCTGGCAAGCAGACTACTGGAAGAAGTATTTCCGCATTACTTGTGCAGTATCACTTCTTCGATTGGCTGTGAAGGGCTCTCAACTTTCCTTGCAAGTCTTGTTTATTTATGCGTGAGGTGGAAAAAAGGTGCTAACTGTCTTTAATGAGAAATTTTAAATGTTTCAATATTTTATAATTATTTTTAGTGAAAAAAAATTAAATGTGTATATTAATTTACTATAGTGAGATTATTATATTATAGAATTTTTTATAAACAAAAGTTTTATTATTTTCTTTTATATATTTTATATAACAAAAATTTTTTTAATTTTATATTTCTTATTTTTATTAATAATAAATTCTATTAAATGCTTTACTCAATAAAAATAATAAAAAATAACTTTTGCAAATTTTATTTACAAAATAAATAAAAGACTTTCCCATCTTTTGTAATAAATAATATTAACTAATAAAATAATAAACCGTTATATATTATTCGTATATATAACTACTGTCCTTATAAAAATGTATTGAATAAATAAAATTTACTATTGTTAACTTACCATATCCAGTGGACTGCTTACCAGTAGAAACCTTTTATAAGCCAAATGGTTGTCTCCACCCGCCAACTGAAAGGCTTAAAGAAACTGTTCAGCGTCTCTTTTCCTTATTTATTATTATTATTTCAAGCGGAACTCTCACGCCCCCAGCGGAGTGCATTTACGCTTCTATAAACAAAATGGCGCTCTACAGTGGTCTTCTGCAAGCCTTCCACCTACCTCTCGAAAGACTACTACCGTACATTTATCCTATTATTATTATTATTATTATTATTATTATTATTATTAAAAATAGTCCATTAAGAGAAGCTGGAAGATGCGATCTTTACGTTGCGTTATGCGATTTAAATGATAGAGAGCAGCTGAAGTCATGTGCAGCGTTATATTTATAAATAAAGCGGAGTTTCTCGAAAAAAAAAGTTCATTAAAAATATAAACAATAGAGAAAGGTTCAATTCTCGAAAAAAAAAAGTTCATTAAAAATATAAACAATAGAGAAAGGTTCAATTTTTTGTAATATTTTAAGCCATTTTAAAAGCGCAAATTTATAAGCTCTCATAATTGGTATAATACATATTAATAAGAAATATAAGTTTTTCAAAATATTACGAATACATAAATTTAATAATATAAGGAAAAAATAAAATAGCCATACGCCACAGTATTTTTGTAGGGGCGTTAGATATATGCTCTCAAAATTCGTCCTCCGCAATTCATTTTGCGCAAAGTACTAAAAAATTAGCTTATTATTATGCGGTCCAGCCTGTTTTATGTATTGGCCTTGAAAGTTGTCACGTATTTGCTAGAAATTAAGTTTTTAGTATAGAGTTAAAAAATTTGGCTGATTCTGCCCGAACCAACACAAATTATTGATATAACGGTATTATGTATAATTTTATCACTGTGAACTTAAAATTTCCCGTTAAGGTCAACTTTTAATTAAAATTTCGAAGAATCAATTCGTAAAAGGGGTTGAATGCTTTTAAGACTATTTTTAAGCACTGAAGCAGCAATACAAAAGAATTGAAGTAGGAAGCGGCCTTTCGTAGGAATAAAAAAAAAATTATACACCACTAGAGTAACTGCTTTGATTATCTGACTGGCAACTTTTACTTGTAAGCTGTACACCAATCACAAGCAAGTTAACTAGCTCAACTCAAATCGAGGTTTACTGAGCAACTCCTCCGTACTTGAATTGGTCGCGCGTCCATACATAGTTGACTCTTGATTATTATAAACGGAAATTCACACTATTCTTTAATGAGACGCATGAAAAGCCAAGAATTCAATGACTACTCTTTAATAAAAGTGCGTAAATGCACCAATAACAGGCTTTCAATAAAAATACATTAGCATTGAACAAACAACTTTACTATAAGAACCAATAAGATTTATTATAGAAAAGTAAACCCACTTTTAAAAAAATTCTTGAAATATATTTTCCTCAGAAATATCCACAAAATCCAAAGAAAGTTTATGTATATTTTTCAAACAGTTTTTTAGTGAGTCGATATACAAGTGGTACTTTTCGCATTTTGAAGTTTTTTGCTCGACTTTCTTCTCGAGCTGTTCGCATATAGTTTCTTTTTTATTAAGTTCTTTATGCGTGCGCGTTAGAATTTCCGATAAACTAAAAGAAAATAAAAAATAAATAATAATAATAATATTAACAACGAACCATCCGAGCATCCTTAGCAACTCTTCTATAATACTTTTCTTATCGTTGAGCTGTTTTTGCAAAGAAACGTTTGCAACGGCGAGACTTTCAGAGTCTATCAAAAGTCGTTTTGTTTGTTCATTGGCCTCTTCAAGTTTTATTCCGCTCTCCATTCGCTCTGCTTCATAATTTTCTACCCAAACTTTCCATGTGGAAAGTTCCTCCGTGGCGAGTTCGAGTTGTTTATTTTTCTCGTTAAGCGTCGCCTCTGCAGAGTGGAGTTGTTCCTCTTTATCTTGAAGGGCCGACTTTAGCTGCAATAAATATAATAATAATAATACTGATAATGATAATAATAATAACCTTTTCTATCATAACTTTATATTCACTTTCAGCGTTAAAAAAAAGCTTTTCAGCATCTAAAAGTCGGGTGTTTAAAGCGCTGATTTCATTGGTATGCCAAAGTAACGTGGCGCACTGAGATCGACGCTCTTGGTCGGCTTCAAGTAACAATGTTTTGGTCTCCTCCAATTCCCTTTCACGAGCGTTAAGCAGTAAAGTTGCTTTATTATTTTCTTCAAAGTAATATTTATTCTATTGTATATAAAAAATAATAATATATAATATAAATATGAAAGTTTACAATATATGAAAAACGTTAAGTATAAAAATAAAAAAAACATTATATAAAGTATACATAAAAATAAACAAAAATAAGTCAAACGTTAAATATTAAAAAAAAAAAAATTAAATGAATAGTTTAAAGAAACTCTGACTTTTACTAAATATTATATTTACAGGCTAAAGATTAGTCACTTTTTTTTTTTAAATATTAACAATAATATGAAATAATATAAATGTTTTTATAAACGTTACAAATCAAGTAAAAAATATATTAATAATTATAGGAAATAATATAAATGTTTATATAAACTTTACAATTACAAGTAAAACAGATATAAATAGCTATAAAAAGTATAAATATATATAACAATAAACTTTGAAAATAAATATATTAGTATGCACCAGTAACTTTACCTAACTTTTTGTAAAGAACTACTTCCTTACTATAATTATATGAAAATATAAATAATAAGACTAATAAAATATAATATAAAATAAAAATTACTAAAATCCGAAAGTTTTATTAAACTTCTAATAATATTATCCAGAAACTTTATATATACTTATAGAAAAAACTTTTTCATCCAAAGTTTTTAATAATTGCAACTGCTTGCCTAACTCGAGTCGCGTTTCTTTCAAGTTAGCTTCTTTTTCTATATAAAAAGAAAAAACAAAGTTAGAAAGTCAATAATAATAAAGATATTATAATAATAAAACTTTCTTGCTTGATTTTATGTAGCTGCTGAAAAGTCTCCAACGAGTTGATTCTATTTTGCAGTTTTTTATTTTCCGATAAAACACTTAGAGATTTACAAAAGACGCAAAAATATAAAATAAGAAAAGACAAAAAAATGATATAAAAACTAAAAGGAAAAGAAAAAAAATGTAAAAAGTCGGACGTGCTAAGCAGTAACAAACCACGAAAAGAAACTAATGAAACGTGACTAATCAAAAGACTTCATTAGATTTGTACAATTTAAAAGGTGTAATAATCGTTCATTATAATAAAGAATGTTTCGAAAGTTAAGCTAATTATTTATAATAATAATAATAATAATAATAATAATAATAATAATAATAATAATAATAATAATAATAATAATAATAATAATAATAATAATAATAATAATAATAATAATAATAATAATAATAATAATAATAAACCTGAAGTGTTCAGCTTGTAGGCCTTCATATTGCGTCTTTAAAGTGTTTAACTTTGCTAAGTGTAAGTTTTCTTTGTTTTCAGCACTATATAATATAATTATAATGAATAAATAAATAATTCAATAAAGAAAAAAAATAAACTTTTGTAAACTTTTCTTATAGCCTAACAGAGATGACGAAGTTTCGAAGATAACAGTGTCCTTAAATATAATCATAATGACGATCATAACAACAAATATTATAATATTAATAATAATGATAATAATCATATAAAACAACCAACTTATACGCATTACAAATTTATAAATAATTTCCAAATCAAAAAGAAAAAAAAACCTTCCTGGTCGACGAATCATTGGCGCGATGAATTTTATAATAAAATCTACGGGTTAATTTTATTTAATATTTTCCATGTATCAAGTCAAGCCAAAAAAAATCATTATATAATATTATTATTATTATTAATAATACTGAAAGAATATTTTTATAAAATAACAATATTATAAATAAATTTATTGTCATAAAAAAACATATATATTATTAATTAGAATGAATACTTTCAACCTAAACTGAAAACATTTATTATTATTATAAAATAATATATACTTTTCTAATATAAATTAAAAAAATTTATATATTGGTACTAAATTACTCGCAAAGAAAGTCTTCAGGAACCTTCAGAGCAGTCAATAGAAGAGAAAAGGTTGAAACAAAAGGTATATAGCTGGAACAAGCCAATCCCCATTTAAAAAAATAGTAAAGCGTCCAATAATAATCAAAAGACGATGCCTAAAATAATATATATTTTCATTATAAACAAACAAAAAGTAAAATTAATTTTTTTTAAAGAGTAATCGACAGTCTTTTTTTTTCCAAACAAAAGTTAATAATAATAAAAATGACAAAATATTTTAATTAATAAAAATATTTTATAAAATAATACAGAATAAATGTTTAATAAATATACTTAATTAAATTATCGATAATTAATAAGGTTAGCACTTTCAGTATAATAATTATAAAATAATAATAATAACAATAATGTTAATAATAATAATGAATATAACAAATTGACTACAAAAAATAAAATAATAGTAATAACAATAACTTTAATAATAATAGTAATGAATATAACAAATTGACTACAAAAAGTTCGCTTATATTTTTATTCAAAGAACACAGGCAAGAAACAGTATTAATAAGTAAATTTTTTTTGGGTTCATCCCATGTGTTTAAATCGGCTCTATAATTAATGAAAAAAGTGTTTTAAAAATAAATAATAATGAAAAAACTTTTAAAAAATAATTTATTGTATTAAAAAATTTGTTTGAATTGTATTAAATATAAATAAATAATAAAACTTATAGTATACTTTTGTATATCCGAGCACAGCAAGCTTAAACAATTGGAAAAGAAATCCACTAAAGACCTACAATGATTGGGTCGATGGTGTCTGCATAACACTAAATAATAACAATAATAATAACAATAACAAAAACAATAGTCATAATCAAATTAATCATAATAGTCATAGTCATAATAATAATAATAATAATAATAATAAGAATAATAATAATAATAATAATAATAATAATAATAATAAAATACGATTGGCTAAAGCTACTTTGTCGCTTAAATCATAAAAGTTTCGACATGTTTCTGCTTCTTCTTTGAATCTCAAAAGAAATTCTAAAAGCTGCTCGACGTGCTCCACAGATAAACTTTTTATAGTCTTCAAAAGTAAAGAGAATTCATATAAAAAAAAAATAACGGGAACTTTACATAATAATAATGAGATCCTCTTCTTAATAGTTTTATTATAATAAATAATCAAAAATTTCTTTCTTTTTTTTTTATTATGTTTTTCATAAAAATACTGAACTTTTATTCATCATAAAGTTTAATATATTTTTATGTAATAGTAGAAGCAGAAAAAGTAAAAATAAT